TTATTATTCGAATGATTCGAGCACTCTTCGGAATTTAATTCGCGAGTTACGAGTTAACACGAGTCCAGTCACTACTCCTGAGTATTTTTAAAAGTGTTCCGATCTGAGTTTGTATATTTATTTTTTTTTAGTAATTATCATTTTTGACTTTTCTTGCTTCGAATTTTTTAATGGTCTGATGAATTGATAATCATTGATCGGCAAAGACAACTATGTACTTGATTTGGTTATAATACAGAGATATATAGTATTATATACAGTATACTATATATAATATCATATAAATTGAAACTAAATTCCATGAATAAATACAAAAAAAAGTGATCAATTCTGGAAGGGCAATTATTTTGTGAATTTGTTTTTTACAAAATAAATCCGCTTTATCATATACAAACAACTAAACATGCAAATCAAAAAATATTTATTTATTTAAACATGGATAAAAATTTTAATTAGTCTATTTTATACATAATTATATAATTGTTAAAATGTTAAAAAAAAAAATCGGGTTTTTTGCACAATTCGTAACGGAAAAATGGTATCTTTATATTACTTATTAAAATATGGTGAATTAGAATACATATAAGAATTAGAGAGGAACTTCATGTAATGAGGAGGTTTCTGACCTTGGTTGGCTTGGAATTATAAGAAAATTAGAATTTGTAGAATCTGTAGAATCTGTAGAATCATCACTATCTTTTGTCAAAATTATAGATATTACTTGAGGTGCAACTTCGTGAGAAGTTTGTGATTCCTCTTGATGTTCACTTTCATTTTCATTTTCAAACTCTTGACTAGTGATATGAAAATTACTTTGAGGTAAAACAATTTGAAGTGGAATTCCTTGATCTGGTAAACCACTCTGTAATAAAAGTTGTGTTTGTTGTTGTGGAACATCTTGTTCTGACTCAGCAGATTGTTGAACTTCTGGTATAGTGATCACCTGAGGAGCAGGCAATTCATCTAATTCAGCCAACTTTTGCTCATATTTTTCTAAATATGATTTAGGTGATTTGGGTGATTTTGGTGATTTTGGTGAAGGCAAGGAAGTTGGATCAACACCAGTTTTAAAACGTTCTCTTGATGCACGCAATGTGAAAATCATTATTATTGAACAAATTACAAACAAAATCCAACTTAAAACTACACTTGCTATCCAAGCATGACAAACTGGAGTCAGATCTAAGCCACTAACACTTTCTATTTTACAGCTGAAAAGATCAAGTCCCCTATAAGCTGGACTAATATTTATTAAAGCTGTCCAAAAAAAATATATATATATTAAAATTAGTTAATGCATAAAAAGAACATCGGTAGGGTAGTATCAGAGATTTAAGAACTTACCAACACTAAACCAGAAGGCGAATAAAAGACTATTTATGTGCATAGACGAAAAAAAAAAATGAAAAATTAATATTTTTATTCTTATTAGGGCAGCAACAGATATTAACTAATAGCCATTTATTATCGTTATTATTTATTTCAATCAATATTTCAAGATCATCCAACGGCCCACCTAGTAGGGTTCTGCCGGGCATGGGTACTATATTTTAACAGTACCATGCCTGGTACCTGCAGAACCCTAAGTCCACTTCAAAGTTTTATCAAATTGAAGTTTTATGCACTACCTCACATTTCTCTCACATATTAACTAATATCTGTTGCATCCCTTACTGTTACGACTCTTAAATTAATAAAAAATTAATAATAAAAAATCATACCATTCCAGCCAAAAGAAAGGTCCTTTG